AAATAAGAAAAAGCATGAAAGAAACGCTGCAGAAAATGCTTTAAAAAATGATTAGACTATGTTGGTATAAGAGAAATTTTCTTTATGTTGGTCTTTGTTGATGCAGAGAAGAAATATCTAATTTGCGGCATCTTACGTTCCAATGGAATAGCAACACTACAATTGTCATAAAAATCACGGTAATTGAAAACTTTTGGTCTTTTGGCTTTTATATCTTTATAGCCAAGAATCTCTACTATAAGACTAAAGACAGAGAGGAAGAAGAATCTTTCTAGGGAATTTTGAAGTGAATAGCTGGAGCTTGAATTCAATGAATCTTAGCAACTATCTTAAAGGAATAAATAAAATAGTGCCAAACTCCACCCTAAAATTGAGGCCAATTGACAAATGATAACGTTTTAGAGATCAAATGCCGTCTCTGCCTGAAAGACTGCCAACAAGATATATATATACAGAGAGAAAGTGTCATGTTGCTTACTCTTGTTAGGAAGTGTATAGTATATTATCAGGGCATATTTATCTTTATGTAAAATTTTAAATTTTAAAATATAAATTTTAAAATTTATTTAAGATTATAAAGAAAGTATTCATAATTAATTTAAAAGAGTTTAAATTAAACATAAATGAAAAGAAATTAAAAATGATGTTTGTTATTTAGAAATGTTAAAATATTATTATGTTTTTTCAAAAATAAATAAATATTAATTTAATTTATAAAGATGAAATGTACGAGTAAGTAACATGGACATATAAAAAACTAAGCGTTTAACAGTGTCATATCTAACTAGTCACATTATTAAAAAATGGTTTTATTATTATTATTATCAAAAAATTCCAGCAATAAATTTATTTTTATTTTAATTTAAAATTTCCTTTCGTTGCTTACCAAAAAAAAAAATTCCTGTCGTTGTAAAAACGTACACTGTTTTCTCTCTTTCTTCTCTTTCTCTTTCTCTCTCTCTCTCTCTCTCTCTCTCTCTCTCTCTCTCTCCATTAATATATATTGTCACGTTAATAAAGAGCTTAAAAATAATTTAATGGCATTGCACACTGGTTATATTTTCTCGAAGAAATAAAATTACGCATCATTTTCCTTAAAAGAATTTATGTCTATTAAGAGAAAGACCAAACTGTAGAATTTGAAAACAAAAATTAATTTCCCATTTTTTTAATTTTTTTTTTAAGTAATTAAGTTAATGTATATATTGAATACGATTTATAATTTTATATAGCCCCTTTCGGAAAGTCCGCGCGAGAGCACTACTGATTTTCCAAGAAAAAGTTTGTGTATTTAATCTCTTAATGCATTGACATTAATCTCTTTGTTATCTTATGACTTGATCAATTTTAGCCCTATTATTGATTTTATGGGACCATAGTAATCATCCTTAGACTCATTTGTACATATGGGCACGCACACATTCAAGATTCTGGACAATTTAGTTGTCCTTTGCGTTACATGCATGTGTACTATAAAGTCCCTCGAATCCACCTCCAACATATTATAAACATAGGACTATACTCTAGGTTTCGGCTTAACTAATAATAAGTATTGATCCAACAAAATATAGTCATATTTTTTTTTAATATTTTAATTGGTTTATCGTTTCGCGATTAGTTTGAATCGGAGCGAGTTCAGGATTAAGGATTTAAAGCCTTAATCCCAGACTTGTCCCGAATCGGACAAATCGCGAAACGATGAACCGATTGAAATATTTAAAAAAGAAAAAGAAAAAGAAAAATAGGACTATATTTTGTCACAATAAAGAATGAAGTTACATCCTTGTTAATAGTTATAGTTTTTGGCTAGGGGTGTGCATGAAGCGGTTCATAACCAGTTTCAACAAAAACTGAATCGAATCGGTTTTTTTTTTTAATTGATTTTTACTTTTCTAAACCGGATTGAAACTGGTTCCAAAATCGGTTTATGGTTCATAACCGGTTTTGATTTAAAACCAGTTTTAAATGAGTTTTAATTCAAAATCGATTTTAAATCAAATCCGGTTATGAACCATAAACCGGTTATCAAGTTCAAAATCGGTTTTATAACAAATTCAAAATCGGTTTTTGATAAATTGTGCTATTTTTACAAGTAATCGTTTGTTTTTATTGGTTATAGGTAGTTGATCAACTATTTCTTGCAAGAATCTTCATTGTTTTAGAACTCTACGAACGAAATGATTCTTATAGAAATTGCTTCACGTTATTTTGAGAGTGATTGGTAGAAGAATAGTTAAATTATTATTATTATTATTTAATACACAACAGTTGAATTATTTAAATTATAAAAAAATTGCTCTTAGTTCTCTCAAGATTTATGTTACTAAGAGTTTCATTTGAACTGATGGAAGGAGGTATGAGTGTTCAAAATATCCAAAAGAACCAAATCAATCCATAATCAAACTGCTTCACGTTTTGAAAATCGATTTCATATATAACTGTATTTTATTTTATAAACTGGTTATTTATCAAACCATACAAATAATTGGTTTATTCATAATCAAACTGCTCTACAATTAAAGAACAAATAAATAGCTTACCAAAAAAAAAAGAACAAATAAATAAATCCATTGTGAGCTATCATTTTAACGGCATTGATTCATCATCTTAAACGTCTTAGAGACATTAAGTCAATTGATTAATTTCGTTATGATTTTTTAACCTCATCTCTGTCAATTCAAAGCCTTCACCTTGTCAAGTTGTGAGTTTACCTAGAGGTCTGTATGTGGTTATTATTAATTTTTTTTTGGAAAAAAATTGTTACGTTACATAAGAAGTGCTTTCTTAGGATGCGACATGTAATTTTTTTTTTAAATAAATGTTTTCTACTTGAGCCGCTTAACTTTTTGTGCTAGTTTATTGTTTGGAAGTTTGAATCAATTGACTAATATAATAGGTATGATAAAAGATAATATTTATTTGTTCTTTAATTATAGAGCAGTTTGGTTATGGATAATCATGAATAATCAATTATAGACTCAGATTTGTAAGCATGTGACACCATTGATCTTTTTTGATCTAATGGCTCTCAGATCCGGTGTCAAAGGATCCTACCTCAAATATATATATATATATATATATATATATATATATATATATATATATATATATATATATAGGAGGGGTTATATTTACAACCCAAATAGTTTATAAACTCTTACAATCATATCTTAACCGTTGATTTCCGCCAATCAACGGTTGTCATTTATTGTGAATTAATAATTAATTAATAAATTTGATTTGCGAAAATCTTAACCGTTGATTGACGAAAATCAACGGTTAAGATATGATTGTAAGAAGTTGTAAATGAAAATAAGTTATAAATATAACCTTCCCCTATATATATATATATATATATATATATATATATATATATATATATATATATATATATATATATATATATATAAGCACCATTTTAATATTACTTAAACTAGAGCTTCGTTATGAACTACAGAATTTAGATTAATACTATTTCTCTCGATTATATCCACCGAAAACGTTGCAATTAGGGGTGTGCAAAAAAACTGGTTTACTTGTTCTGCCCTTGATCTGACCTTGACCTGACCCATAAATACTTATTTTTTGAACTGAGTTTAAATACTGACCCACTTTTATTTAGGTCAGTTTTAGACCTAACTTGTCTTAATAATGACCCATTGACCCCAAAACTTGATCCATACCCATTATGTGAAAAAAAAAGAAAAAAAAATCACAATTATGGTCATCTCTTCTCTTTGTCACGTTCTTGCACTCTACCAAAAAGGATCTCCCATATGCTTCTCGATTTTTCTTATGCTCAATCCCGAGTTTCTTGATTAATTTAAACCCATGTGGTATAATATGGCTGAATACTTGATTGATGCCATGTTTTGCTATAATGGTCTTTGTTATTGGCTATGGATTTAACTCTCTGATCCTTCCAACATCGCGTCCTTCATTTCATAACAAGCAGTAGATCTCCTTTCTCTCTATTCCTTCATTTTTTTATTTTATTTTAATGGCTTTTACATCGTAGCTTTTCAGGTAAAATTTAGGTGCATGGTAACTGAGAATTTTCATAAATGTCTCGCATAATAATCTTGAAGGCTCGCTGTCGATTGAGCTCAGTAAATTAGCAACTACTTCTTTGTCCAATTTTTATTTAAGTCATTATGTGTGGAGTTACAATTATTACTTTAATGAAAAAATTTCTATACAACCATTCTACCTATATAATATGTCGGTGTTTATCAATCTAATTCCTTTATATTTTCTATTTTCTTTGTAGTTGATAACTAAAATTATATATGTACAATCATATTAGCCAAGAGTTGCCTTTAACTAATTGATCTTTCCCTAATAATAATTGTATAATTTGGGTTTGAATTTAAGAATTTCCTATTACTAGACATTATGTAAGTTTATAATATACCATTGTTAAAATTAGTGATTTGTCATCTTAAGATGGGAAGAGCGTTCTCTCATCCTTTACTTTTCATTAATTTTCACTAATTTTGCTTCACATGTGCAGGGGGCTTAAATTTACATTCCTTTATTTATTCAACAAATATCAAATTTATATATTTTAAAATAAATAAATAATTAAATTACACGAGTTTAAAAAATAAATCAATAAATATAAAAAAAATCAAATTAAAAACATGTTTTGAAACCAAGTCAAAAACGGGTCAGGTCGAATTTGACCCACTTCAGAAACCAAATCAGACCCACTTCAAAAACCAAGTCAGGTCAGATCCGACCCAGTTCTAAACTAGTTCAAAAAAATTCAAATCAAGTCAGACCTGACTTGGATCAAATTAAACCGGGTCGGGTCAAAATACCTGACCTATAAAAACCAAGTTGGGTCGAGTCAGCACAAAAACCTGACTCGACCTGACCCATGCACACCCCTAGTTGCAATGATGAAGCTCAAAGGAAAAATGTCAGCAGCATCTTCATGTGAAAATTATATACAATGTTAGGTGAAATACGCAACCTTCTTTCTATAAGGGACTTGTTTTAGCATAAATAAGAGTTACTGTATAATACATTTCCAGATATGTGTGACACCAATATATAGGCACTCAATAAGTTTTTGAGAGAATTATTTGATGAATACATAAAGTAAATGAACATTCACACCAGCCATCCATTGTTTATGTTTTCGCTGCTCTGACTACGCTCTGTCCTTGTGCCAATTGCTTTTCCCTTTGAAGCAGCTTCCTGGTGCCGAAACCTACTGCAATAAAATATGTTATCTTCTAACCAAAAAACAAAAATATGTTATCTTGAATAAATGCCAAGTTTTTTTCTTTTTAGTTAACTCAATCTTAATTATTTCTTTGAAAGCTGGCTATGAGACTAATCCGGAGTGCGAGGCGGATCAAGAATGAAGATATTTAAACCTCTTCCAAAGTGGTATGTGGGGATCAAACCGAAGCTCTTTCCTTTCCACTTACTCAACTCCCTTTACTATCACCTGAACTACCAGTTTAAATGGCAAGCTTTTAGTTAATAATTTACGTACAACTATTGTAGTTGTGAACATATATGACAACTTTTCCTTATCACGCATATAGAAGAACTTTAACATAATTTGTATTTAGAAATGATAACAGGGTGTTATCTCACATTCAGTAGAATATTTTGGGGCTATTTGGTGGATAATGTGAGCTATGTTTTGAATTAAAAGTGAAATTGATGAAGAGTGAGTGACATATTTACAAGGTGAGCTATGACTCACCTTGGGAGCTTCCACTGGACGCCCTCTTGTGCATTGAGGAATCAAGTTCAGAGGACGTGCCATTGGCAGCCCCGAGTTCGACGCTGCTCTTAGTTGAATCAGTTTGTTCATCTTCTATTCTTTTTGTCTTTTTTTTCTTGTTTTGTTTGAAGACTTGTGTTGGATCACTTGTAGTTTTTTTTTTGGTCAATTTGTGAATGACATTGTTTCCTTCCATTTTATTCTTGGTTGTTTTTAATTTGCCGATTATGAACTAAATACTCCTAGGATTGGGTAGAGAGAGTATTTGAGATGTTATGTTGAAGTCTTTGTTACTGGAATGACTATTTCAATTTGATGTGATTTGATTAACCGAAGTGTTTATTTGATTAATCTAATTAGAATCTGGACAGTCTTAATTAGGTTCCTAGGATTCCATTCTAGAAGGAGTTCACATCTAGATCATCATTAATTAGTGTAAGTGGATTGTGTAGTGACTCATATAATCACTCATATTAGTTAATAAGCTAATTAAAAAATTAGGTAGGTGAAAATTTAAAATATTGATAAGTACTAAAATTTAAGGCTCAAAAGTTAAGTGGATAAGCATTATCTCCCACTTGGATTATGACTATTATTGAATTACAAAAGTGGATTTCAAGTCACTAATGGATGAGGAGAAGGGTGATGGGTAAGGTTGTCATTCTTAGAATTAGTGTTTAAAAGAAAATGGATAAAGAAAAATAAAAAGGGAAAAGATAAAAAAAAGTTTCATCACTTTTCTTCTTCCTCTCTCTATCCCTTTTCATTCTCTCTCTTGGGCGCCTTATCTTATACCAAGCATAGAATTTTCCTTCTTCCTTTGACTAAGTAAGGTAAGAATTGATGAACTCTTGAGGATTTCTTGATAAGAATATAAAGGGGTTAAGGTTTGAGAATGAGTATTGGATTCAAATTTCTCGTACCATTGCCGAGGTGCTTGCTTCTAGCCATACAAACTCTTCTTCAATTGACAAACCAAATCTTTTTTTCCTAGAGCTCGGAACCCTTCAAGTTGCTCCATATATATCTCCTCTTCAAGATCATCATTAAAGAATGTGGTCTTAACATTCATTTTCTCAACTTCTAAGTTCATGGAGGTTGTCATTGCTAGTACAGTTCGAACCGAAGTCGTTTTCATAACAGGAGATAAAATTTCTTCAAAATAACTCTTTTCTTTTTATTGCAACCTTTCATTATAATTCTGACCTTGTATCTCAGCTTTTGGCCATTTTTCTCATGCTTAATTTTGTAAATCCACTTATTTTTCAGAGCTCGTCTTCCTTTTGGCAGCTCGGTCAGCTCATAAGTTTGATTTTCATGTAAGGACTTTATCTCAACTTGCATTGCTTTATCTCATTCCTTCTTCTCGAAGCTCTTCATGGCCTCATCATAGCTTTGTGGTTCTCTTCAACAACAATTGTGTATTCATCAAGTAGGTATCTTGCAGAAGGTGAACTTACTCGAGTAGAGGGTCTGGGTTGTATTTCAAGTTAAGAGTCTAGCTCATCATTCTCATCTTAGACCTCTGGATGACCTGCATCCACTTGTCTTTCTTCATCACTTTCAATAGGTGGTTCCTTTTGTTGCTGGTCATTTTTCTTCATTTTCTTAATTATTTTCTCCCCTTGCATCAACTTGGAGAGGTAGGACAAGTTCTTTACTCTGTACATCAGCTTAGACTTTGGGCTTCGAGATGTCTTTGATAATCTCGTCTTCATGGAAGATCACATCTCGACTTCTCATAATTTTTCGGTTGACGGGATCCCAAATTTTGTATCTTAACTCACATCTTGGAGAACCAAGGTATATGCATTCTTTTGTCTTCGCATCAAGTTTCACACTCTTATATTTAGGAATATGCACAAAAGCTCAGCATCCAAACACTTTCAAATGATCATAGGTTGCTTTTCAACATGACCAAACTTCTTCAGGGATTTCTCATTCAAGTAGCCGTGATGGTGATAAATTAATTAAATCAACAGAAGTTCGTACAGCTTCTCCCCAAAATGAATTTGTTAACCCAACATGTAATAGGATACTTCAGACCTTTTCTTCAATAGTCCAGTTCATCCTTTTAGCAACTCCATTCAATTACGGAGTCTTGGGGGTGTCTTGTCAAGTCTTATCTCGACCTTTTTGCAATAAGCATCGAAAGGACAACAATATTCACTACTGTTAGCAGAACATATCACGTTTAGCTTCTTACCAGTCTCTCTTTCCACTATAGCATGTAATTCTTTGAAGGCTTGGAGAACTTGGTTTTTAGACTTCAACAAATACATGCATACTTTGCAGAAGTGGTCATCAATAAAAGAAACAAAGTATTGAGCCCCACAAAAGATCTCTCCGAAATGGTGCAGTGATCGATGCAAACGAGGTCAAGAATATACCTGCATCGTCTGGGCTGGTCTGGTCTTACGAACGAGACCCGATGTTTCTTTCCATTTAGGCAATGCGTGCAACTCTCCAGCACTTGGCCCTTCAACCCGGTTAGAAGTCCTTTCTTGTTCAAAATTTGGAGCCTTTTCTCTTTCATTTGGCCGAGGCATTTGTGCCACAACTTCATATTAGGTCTATCCCGAATAGAGTTGGCTTCTCCAAGATTTATATTTCCTTGCATCACATACAAGGAGCCTTCCTTCTTGCCTCGGGCAAACACTAAGTTTCCCTTGGCTAATTTCCATCTTCCACTGCCAAAATAATTTACTAACCCGACATCATTAAACTTTTCTATCGAGATTGGATTCAACAACATATGTGGTACATGCCTTACTTCCTTCAATACAAGTCGCCAATCAACATCTATGGTCAGGGTTACATCACTAACCCCAACAATCTTACTCGTGACTTGGTTTCCTTTTTTCATAACTCCAAAGTCACCACTTCTATAGGAAGAGAAGAAACCTTTGTGTGTAGTGGTGTGGAAAGAGGCACCTGAGTCATCAATCCAAGTGTAATCATCATAAGCAACATTAAGAAAATTGGTAGTCTTTGCAGTGGTGCTCTTGTCCTCTTTCTTCTTGAGCTCTATCTGATCTGCCTTCACATGTCGCTCTTCTGGTCTTTCTTCAAAGTTCGGCAGTCAGACTTTTTGTGGTCGGGCTTCCCACAGTAAAAGCAAGTCAATTCATATTTCGGCCTAGACCAACCTCTGGACTTGTCATGACCTCGGATGTCAAACCTTCTTATGTTCTCAGCAACGTTTGCTTCAGACGCGCTGGATACACCATGTTCTCTTCTCATGGATTCTTCATTCAGGAGACTGTTAGTCATACAGTGCATTATCAGTTTGCCCTCAGGAGCCGAATTGCTTAAAGTAACTACGAGAGTGTCCCAACTTTTTGGTAACGAACTAAGGAGTAAGAGAGCCTGGAGCTCATCATCAATTTTCATCTCGGTCTTAGAAAGTTGATTCATAATGCCTTTGTAAGTATTTAAATGCTCAATCATAGTCATCTCATCATTGTATTCAAGCTTCATAAGTCAATAAACTAGGCGTGTTTTATTCTTGAGAGTTTTCTTATGTATTATGGACTCTAGGTTCTTCCATAACTCATGCACATTAGTGAACTAGGAAACATGTTCAAAGATACTTTAGTAATATACTTCCTGATCATGCCCACGGCCTTTCGATTCAATATTTTCCATTTTTTCATTCTTACCTTTAGGCATCTTGGCGTTAAGGATCGGTTCATAGAGATCTTTGCAAAATAGATGATCTTCCATCAACGGTCTCCAGTAAGTAAAATTATCAACTGTCATCTTGAACATGTCTCTGTCATGGGATATTCCGCTCGTCTTTATCTCATCTTCAGAATCCTTTGAACTCGGGCTCTGATACCATTGTTAGTATAGGGTCTCTCAATCAGTGCGGAAGTGATTTGCAGGTCGGCACGTTAAGCTCGTATCTCGGCACTTGGAGGTTGGCCTGAAGTCACTAAGTCGGCCAAAATTGGAGAAATGAAGAAAATAAAGAAATGAGAGATTGACAAAAACACAACAAATTTTATCGTGGAAAATATTCTCTAATGTAGAGAAATAAAAATCAGGGGACCTAGTCCAGAAATTCTTCCACTATGTATAGTATGATTTCAAAGGATTCAAACTTCCTAAGTTACACTAGAGGTATTCTCAAACTTTACTACCAATGTCTAAAGAGGTCTCACGCTCAAACTTCTCTTCAGAGGTTTCTCACTTATCTCACTTAGCTTAGTTTTTAGCTAACTTATTATAAAGATTTTCTTATGTTTATATAGGTGAGGGGGAACCCTGCACCTTCTTCTAGAATCTTTACCAATAATGAGATGAGAAGCATTTATTGAGGCGATTGTGTTCAGTCATTGAGCCATTCACCTACAAATGTGGTGTGTAAGAACCCTAATCATTAAATTGAGATTTTAGAAATTTAATAATAATTAAAAACAGGATAATTAGGAGGAAATTTAAATTATAAAAATTAAAATCACTTTTTT